TGCATTTAGCAGACGCTTTTATCCAAAGCGACTTACAGTGCATTCATGCTATACATTTTTTATCAGTATGTGATATATATATATATGTATATTTTACAGAAAAGCCCTCAAAAATTTATTTTAAATACAGCTGTTGTTGAAAATGTCTTCTTGTTTTGTCACAGAAATTCCAAATTAAATGAATAAAAAAATTGCACACTACAATTTACAATATATTTTCCACAACACACTTCAAATCTATTATTGTCTCTTTTAAGGACTTTTCTGTAAAAATACACGATAGAATTTAAAGTGTGACAACTAGCCCCGGTTTATCCTTCAGTGCAAAAAATAAATAAATAAGTGATATTTCGAAATTATGAATAGGACGAAGATCACTGGAGTAGGTATTAGAAAGAAAATACTACTTCAGTTTTTCTACTTCGAAATTTCACAATGTGTTACTTGCTGTTTCCTTGCGAAATTTACTAGGAATGTGACAATTGTTTTATCAGCAATTGCCCACTTGTTTTAGTATTTTCCTTAAACACTTTTCTTGTAAATATTTGAACCCAGAGTTCAAAGACTAATATATGTGATTTATATGAGTTTGTAAATGGAAGAATACGAGAAAATTACGAAATGACAAATATACTACAGTGATAATGATGAGCAGTGCGCCCTTCTGCGCACACAAACTTCTAAATTCTTTATTAAATAGTCAGTTTATATAAACGTATGGCTTCGTATCTACATTCTACTTAAATTCAAACAGTATTTGACAGATCAAGAGCTTCACGATGATCCGCACCTGCCGCGTAACGCAGAAACTGCGCATCTCCACACTGAAGATGCGAAACCCTGAACGGGATCAAATTAACGCTTACCTGCCGCCAGACACACTGGCAACAGCACTCTGAAGATCAGACCACACACCACCTCAGAAGCCATCGCTCTCAGATGTGAAGGACAAACTGCAGCATCCAGCAGCCAGATGTCCTGGACCCGGGACGGGACGGCATCCTTCGAGCGCCTCTACACCGGATCCTCCATGCGTCCTGAATGAAAACTTCCAGTTAAGGACTCCCTTTGTCTAAAAAAGTGCTTTATGTGTGTCTCGAGTGGGTGGAAGTGTTTAATCTAACTCATGATGTTATGAAGATGTGGCATTCGTTTGCGCAAAGTCCCGGTTTTCTCCAGCGCGCATCAGGCTCTCTGCGCCAGAGCGCACACGGAATGCGTCCGAAACACCGCGTGAATCCTGGAAAAGATATCAAAATCACTTCGTATCCTGTGGACCAAAGCGAATGATACTGATTCAAGTTCAAGGCTAAATAAACCGTCCCTTAATCACCTAAAGTCACTCATGTAGAAGGTGGGCTTGATGACTTCCTCGCTTCCATCTCCACACAGCTGCTCTGAAAAGCCACAGGCATTCCGGTCAATGACAAACGCCCTTTCCTGAGTGATGGAGCGCCGGTCCAATCAGCGACCGCGGGGGGCGGGGCCTGCAAACCCTGAGGGATGCTCCATTTGACTGCCGTTTTACTAGGAACTCATCATCATTACAACAACTGGCCTTCTAGAAAAGATTGTATCACAGTCATGTACTCTTTTCTTTAGCTGACTAAGCCAACTGGGAAATAATATAAGCCAGTCGCATAAATGGATTGATAGCCATATAGGTTACTTGAAACAAGTATAAAATATTTATTTTATTTTATTTCACCTATTTTAGACGAGACAACATTTTAATTTCACTTGATACTAAAATGACTAAACCTGCTCGATACACTTCACACGAACCCTTCATGCATTTCTGTTATTTTATTAATGCATTTAGTCATTTATTTTATTTATTTTTTATTAGTACTGATATTTGTTTATTAGAATTGCAATTAACAATAAAGCATAAGTCCCACCTGTCAAGAATATACAAATGGGAACAGAGCAAGTGTTTAATAATGTCACAAATAGAGAAAAAAAAGAGAACATTTGTTATTAATTATTACTATGAATGGTCAGGCCTGAATGGAATCATGCAGAATTAAAAAATAAATAAAAATAAATCATTGTTTTATGCAGATGTCAGTGGTGTCGAATGTCTCCTTAAAACACTCGGAGGGGTTTCGTGAATTACTCTGTCAATAATCTATGCCATCAACTCATCCCCTGTGATCAAACACTCGTTATCAGATACACCCCACAGAACAATTAACCAGCCACAAGGAAAACCACAGGAAAATATAGATTAGAATCATTTAGCATGAATGTTTTACATTAGATGACATTAAAACAAAGTCCAGGCATAAAGCTGTCTGACAAAAACGGTATTACTGTCTTAAAACCTGACGGATGCATTTAATGGCAAAATCAAAAAATGTGTTCATTATTGTGATATTTGTAAAATGTTATTTCTCTCTAAAATTTCACTTCAGTGAAATAAAGTAAATAAAATAATGCAGTGGAAAATGGAAATGTACATTAGACCGTTTCAGGTTTTGAGTCCCAAAAGTCCAATTATACAAATGAGTTTTTTGGTAGCAGTGGTTGTGTACGTTTGTTTCAAACACTTCCAGAAATTCAGATATTTTGTGAATCTTATCCTCAAAAATAACTTTTTTTTTCACATTAATTACAATTTCTGAACCAAGCAATGCATTAAAACCTTTTAAACTTTGTTTCATGAATTGTTTTGTGTTTCATAATAATTGTGTTTAAATTTTTAATTAAATTAAATGTATGCATTTAGCAGACGCTTTTATCCAAAGCGACTTACAGTGCATTCATGCTATACATTTTTTATCAGTATGTGATATATATATATGTATATTTTACAGAAAAGCCCTCAAAAATTTATTTTAAATACAGCTGTTGTTGAAAATGTCTTCTTGTTTTGTCACAGAAATTCCAAATTAAATGAATAAAAAAATTGCACACTACAATTTACAATATATTTTCCACAACACACTTCAAATCTATTATTGTCTCTTTTAAGGACTTTTCTGTAAAAATACACGATAGAATTTAAAGTGTGACAACTAGCCCCGGTTTATCCTTCAGTGCAAAAAATAAATAAATAAGTGATATTTCGAAATTATGAATAGGACGAAGATCACTGGAGTAGGTATTAGAAAGAAAATACTACTTCAGTTTTTCTACTTCGAAATTTCACAATGTGTTACTTGCTGTTTCCTTGCGAAATTTACTAGGAATGTGACAATTGTTTTATCAGCAATTGCCCACTTGTTTTAGTATTTTCCTTAAACACTTTTCTTGTAAATATTTGAACCCAGAGTTCAAAGACTAATCAAATATATGTGATTTATATGAGTTTGTAAATGGAAGAATACGAGAAAATTACGAAATGACAAATATACTACAGTGATAATGATGAGCAGTGCGCCCTTCTGCGCACACAAACTTCTAAATTCTTTATTAAATAGTCAGTTTATATAAACGTATGGCTTCGTATCTACATTCTACTTAAATTCAAACAGTATTTGACAGATCAAGAGCTTCACGATGATCCGCACCTGCCGCGTAACGCAGAAACTGCGCATCTCCACACTGAAGATGCGAAACCCTGAACGGGATCAAATTAACGCTTACCTGCCGCCAGACACACTGGCAACAGCACTCTGAAGATCAGACCACACACCACCTCAGAAGCCATCGCTCTCAGATGTGAAGGACAAACTGCAGCATCCAGCAGCCAGATGTCCTGGACCCGGGACGGGACGGCATCCTTCGAGCGCCTCTACACCGGATCCTCCATGCGTCCTGAATGAAAACTTCCAGTTAAGGACTCCCTTTGTCTAAAAAAGTGCTTTATGTGTGTCTCGAGTGGGTGGAAGTGTTTAATCTAACTCATGATGTTATGAAGATGTGGCATTCGTTTGCGCAAAGTCCCGGTTTTCTCCAGCGCGCATCAGGCTCTCTGCGCCAGAGCGCACACGGAATGCGTCCGAAACACCGCGTGAATCCTGGAAAAGATATCAAAATCACTTCGTATCCTGTGGACCAAAGCGAATGATACTGATTCAAGTTCAAGGCTAAATAAACCGTCCCTTAATCACCTAAAGTCACTCATGTAGAAGGTGGGCTTGATGACTTCCTCGCTTCCATCTCCACACAGCTGCTCTGAAAAGCCACAGGCATTCCGGTCAATGACAAACGCCCTTTCCTGAGTGATGGAGCGCCGGTCCAATCAGCGACCGCGGGGGGCGGGGCCTGCAAACCCTGAGGGATGCTCCATTTGACTGCCGTTTTACTAGGAACTCATCATCATTACAACAACTGGCCTTCTAGAAAAGATTGTATCACAGTCATGTACTCTTTTCTTTAGCTGACTAAGCCAACTGGGAAATAATATAAGCCAGTCGCATAAATGGATTGATAGCCATATAGGCCTATATACAATCATTTGACACATATCATTTCACCCCAAAAAGGTTAAAAAGTTAAAGTCAGAATGGAACCGAGGAGAATTTTTCAACTTAAGAAAAAAAAAGGGTAACATATCAATTTTTCAGTTTAAAAATCAGTCCTCAAATTTGATTGTCAGAGCACCGCAAGTATAGGGTTGGTATGTTTTTTTTTTTTATTAATACTTTTCTTCTGTAAGGAGACATTGACACTGAAGACATTTATAATGTAACAAACATTCCCATTTCAAATAAATGCTGCTCTTTTCAGCAAAGACTAATCTTAAATAAAATCACTTTTCCACTTTTGCGTCACATTGGGAAATGCATGAAAAGAACTAATTTGACAATTACAGTTTACTCAGATTTATACATGATGTGGCCGGATTTGCTCACGTTAATCATTATAAGTGACCTGCATTAAAACATAATTTTCAACTAACATATATTTCACGAGTTCACGCTTACATATAATTAGCTGAAGTATGGTAATGCATATTTGGCGTGCTGTCCGGGGAAGGGCTCCGAGCTCGGGAATGGCCCGAGCCTAGAGTAGCCCCCCGCATAAGTGTAGTATGAACTCAAAGTGAGGAGATGGGGCAGAGGAGGGATGCTGATAAACCATCAATGGATAGAGGTAAGTCAGCTGTATTTATATCATGGTGTTGATTAACTTGGGTGTGCTCCACCTGTGTTAATTAGGCTAAGTATCTGACGTGCTCCTTCCGAACCTTGTTAATAAAACATCATTAAATGTGAAATGTGTAGTATAAAAAATATGTGCCATTAAATAAATAAATGAATATGTGGGACTGAACCTTAAAAACACAGAAAAATCAATAAGCCATCATTTTTCAAAAGTGCAAAAGTCTGAGAGTATAGAATTTCTCATTTAAACCTGAAAGGAAGCATCAAATATAAACAAATTATATATATATATAATAAAACAAGAAGAAACAGCTTTCAATAGACTGTGTTCTGTTTCTACAGCAGGTATTCACTAATCAAATGTCACTGATTAAAATATGTGAATTAGTCAAAAGAAGCAGTAAAATAAAGAAATTACTTGAATTAATAATGACTTTCAGGTTTATGAAGACTTTAAAAGACCCAAAGCTGGACAGAAATGAATAAGTAACAGATAAGTGGGCTAGCTAACAACTGAAACTCCCGTTTGGACAAAAAAAAGTTATTATTAAAAAACGTACATTTTAAAACCGTCATAAAAATTGGCTCAAATTATTCATACATCATAAATTGATTGTATCGATCATAATAACATCAGACAAAGTGTTAGTTGCTTTAAAATAACCATCTTTCTTTTGGTTGCTTTTCTCTTAAAACAATTTTTTTAACACTGTACTAACCATCCATGTTGTTTTATAACCAAAGGTCTAGTAAAGAAGCTTTTGTTTGCAGCTAGTCTGCTTCCCTGATCTTCAGCAGAGATCTTCAACAACTATTAAAGCCCTGCTGTTCCCTTCACATGCAGGTTAGCAGTGGATATGTGATCTAATGCTGCAGGTGAGGCATCAATAATACATTTGTCTGACATTGTGTTTGTTCATTAATGATGTTGATTATAGGAGATCTGAGAGCAGGTCTCTCATGCTCTTTAAAAACTGCACATCAACTCTGGGCGTCAGGATGGCATCAAAATTTTAACACAAAGCACTTACACCGGATCAAACTTCCTGGATGTTTAATTCCTTGGCTCTCATAAGTAGCTAATAATAGAATAATGTCTATAATCCTTATACTTAGTGGTCTGCATGCACATATATTAGCCCTCACATATACACACAGATGCAGACAATTAGAGATGAAATATTAAGCATAAATATTTAAACCCAGGAGTACCTTCATGCTGAAGATGAAGCAAACATCAACAAGCTGCTTTTACAATTTTAAACATGCTTTCTGTGGAAAATCCTCACTGACAGTGTTCAGGAAACCGGCTCTACAAACTCCAGACACCCTTACTGTAGGAAGAATGAAGAAAAACACTGAATTCAATCACTTTTTAGTTCAGATAGAATCATAATCGTGTGTATTGGCAAATATAAAAGTGTTTACCTGAAAAGGGTCTTCTTGTTCAAATCATATGAACTGTACGGAAACAAATTAAATCCATTTTTGATACAAGTCATCGACAACTTATTCAGAAATGTTACATTATTCAAATAAAAATACAGTAAAATGCAGTCATATTTTGAAATATTATTACAATTGAATATAACTGCTTTCTATTTTTGAATATATGTTAAAACGTAATTTATTCTTGTGATACAAAGCTGAATATTTTTCAGCATCATTTCTCCAGTCTTCAGTGTCACATGATCCTTCAGAAATCATTCTAATATGCTGATTTACTAGCACAAGAAACATTTCTGAACAGTTGTGCTGCTGAATATTTTTGTGGAAACTGTGATTCTTTGATGAATAGAACGTTCAAAAGAACAGCATTTATTTGAAATAGAAATCTATGTAACATTATAAATGTCTTTACTGTCACTTTTGATGAATTTAATGCTTCCTTGCTAAATAAAAGGATTAATTTATTTAAACAAAAAATACTTAGTGTAGTGTACATGAATCAAAGCTTCATAAAAGTTCCAAAAATGTTAACTTATATTATGCACTGATATACTAAACCGACATTTTGATCTCCAGAGAATTCAACAAACCAGTTTGACAAAACGTCTCTCCTCCTTCAAAGTCATTTCAGTAAAGCAAAGGATCAACAATCACGCCTAAGTGGCTTGCAGCTAATCAATACTGAGCGAAAGGAAGCGATTGATCAATATCTATAGTTTTTACGATTGTTCTTTGAGGGTGGAGACTCCATGACGAACAGATGTCAGGAAACATTCACTTTCTATCAATAATTCATCAGAGAGAACGAGTTAAACCAAAAGAAATGTCTTTTCTGATGCCGGTCCAACCCAGAACATGGGTGGAGATAATCTCTAATATCCACCAACATTTCAATTATGCAGAAACATAAACGTGATTGATTACGCAGGTCTCGTTAAATGCCCAGCAAACGTTTGGTTGATTGTCCATCAGAAAACCAAACTGCATGCTGATTGATGTTTTGATCATAAAACGACGCCAGGGGATATTACGCTCTTTTGCTTAGCATCGACCAATTTTCTACAGTCACAGGAATATATAATAAAACTGCAGTATTGGTGACTGGCATAGATCCACGTGCAGAGCATCTGACTTACAACATCAATTAAGAACCATAGAAGCTTAAGAATTTGCCTGAATCACAGCTGATTTAGAACTAGATGAATTTGAAATGAAATTACAGTTAGGCTTCTAGATATCAGTGCAAAACAAGTAATGATAGTAGTGTTTGCTAAGGCAAAGTCTCATAGACACTTGGTATGAGTTCTTTTGATTTGGGCCTTTAAATACCCTTGCAACTGCCTAGCAACATCAGAACAGTGTTATTATAGTTAACATTAAGCATAACCTAGCTGCCATGTTTTGGACAAGCTGTAAATGGGACAACGCAGAAAGGGCAAGACCAATATATAACGAATTGCAATAGTCTAACTGAGTGGATCATTATTTCCTAGTCTTTATTAGAAAGAAAATGTTTTATTTTAGTGATAGAACTCAGGTGATAAAAGCTATACCCTTTATCACCAGCACTGATCTGCTTATTGAAAAGTAGTAGTAATTTGAAAATCACTCTCAGACCCCTCACATGATCTTTTACATTCGACCACAGAGGACCTAACTGAGCAGCCAGGCCAGGTAAGATAAGATATGCTATATTTCTGGAAAAATAAGGCTCAGGGGAAGCATGTGCAATGAAATTAAAAGGGGCCTAAAATTGACCCTTGGGGGACACCAAACTCTAATTGAGCTGCAGTAGAGGGAAAAGTCCCCCAAATTTACAGAGAAACCATTCTTTAAAAGAAAAACCAATGGAGGGCAGTTTCTTATGGTCAATTGCGTTGAATCGGGCTCTGAGATCTTTTAAAACAAAGACGACAGGGGAATCTGAATCCATGGACAGTAAGATATAATCAGTAGGATAATAATGCAGATTCAGTGCTATGCAAATGTCTGAAACCAGACTGAAAATGTATGCAAGATGTTTAAGTGTTAATACAAAACTAAAATCATAAAAAAGTAAACACCCCAGCAATGACCCTATAGTAACCACATAGCAGCACACAGAACAGGGTTATTATAGTTAGCTAGAAGCATAAAAGAAACATTTTCATTACCTGAAATAAACATTAACTGAAATAAAATTAAATATTAACATTTTATTTCAGCTAGTTGCTAAAGCAACATTTCTTATTTTCATTTCTTTTAGCTTGATGTACTAAAATGACTAAAACTAACATTTTAATTGATAAAATGAAAAACTATACAGACATAAAAAAAACATAAAAATCACAAAAAACAACAAAATGAAAACTAACTAAAATGAAAATGAAAACGGAAAATATAAAAACATAAAAATATTAATAAATACTATAAAAGTATGGCAACAATACTGAAATATCCCTGACTCTGAACATATGACATTCTAGGATCCTGACAGCAAGATTTACACACTTCATGTTAAAGAAAATGAGCTGGTAAAAACACCACAACTGGGAATATTACTAATGGATTCCTCTGTGCTGGAATGAGTGTATGGTCAACCAATCAAAGCATGTTATCTGCAACAGTGATGTCACATGACCCTGTTTCTTCAGTGCTCTTATGTAATCGCGCAGCTTTACATTAGGCGTGGTGTTCCAGGTATCACTTTCTTCAGAACATCCTCATCCTCATCCTCATTAGAGCTCTAAAACATTGATGATAACCTCTTAACAACCAACCACCATCTACCTTTAAAGCTCTGCATTATTAACGACTCTTTAGCCATCTATACAGTTAGAATTAGTGTTTGAGAGCCGACTGACACTTTTAAGTTTCAAAGTTTGTTTGTCACGTGTCCAATAGGGAAGACAAATGTTCGTATCTATGAGATATAGCGTTACTGTGAATAAGAGAAAGATAGATACACAAACATTAGATAATGCATTGAGAAATATACAGAAATTATGTACAAAATGATATGACTGCAAAAAATCATTCACAAAAAGTCAGCTGTGGTTGTCAGAAAAATCACTGTGGTCACAACATTTCAGGCATTATGGGATAACAGGTTAAGTAGTGCCTGTATAGATTTCATACCGGTATATATAATTAATTAATGTAATGTTAATATACCTGAACTACTAAAATTTGCTCTAAATATAATCATTTAATGATAAACACCATAATAATGCATGTACTAAAATAGAAAAGCACATGATTTGATGAAAAAAAGATGTTCTGGAAATGTCAGACTCATAACTTTACTTACATACATACATACATAAACATAAAATACAGGCACTCTCTTGGCAAAAAAAATATTTTCACAGTAAATTTAGGTCATTTCTACTTTTAACTTCTTTAACCCTAATTTTGACATTACCTTACCATGCATGTATTGTCTTGAAGTGAACATTTATTTTTTATTTTTTTAGCATTAAACAATATTTTAATTATTACTTACATCATTTATATCTATACTATTAACTTATAAACCTATTTGACATTTTTAAAAGTACATTTATTGTCTCGTTAAATAAAAAATGTAATATAATTGAATTTAAAAAAAAATATTTGACTAATATATTATAGTATAAATATAACTAGTATATTTATACTATTAACTATAAACTGAACTTTGACATTATCTTACCATGCATATACTGTCTTGTTAAACTGAAAATGTATGAGATATAAATGCGCATTTCTAAGAAAAAGAAAAAAGCCAGAAATGTGAGATACAAACTTGTAAAATCTTAATAAAACAGAATTGTGAGATACAAACGTGCAATTCTGAGAAAACAAGTGAATGTGAGATACTGTATAAACTCACAATTGTGAGAAAAAAGTAAGAGTTAAGAATTATTACAAGATGTAAACTCAAGAGTTTACAACAGTTTATATCTTGGAAAAAAGCACTGTGAGATATACACTCAGATTTGCGAGAATAAACGTCAGAAATGTACGGAGTATGGCATGCAGGAAAAAAATAGTAGAACGATTTAGCAAATCAAGGGAAGGAAATAGTAATCGTGTGCACGTTTTAGTACAGCGAGGGAACGAATGAGTAAATCGTGCTCATGGTTTATTTATTTTTTCTTGCTTGTCATGTGCGGGGCTCTGTAGAAATGTGACAAATGCGGGGGGTGGGTTTATCTCATGGCAGAAACAGGCTTTCATAAAAATGTCATATGAGTTGCCTATTAAAGGAATTTTTTATCATTTCAAAATGCAAATGTGAAATTATTGCAACTTGCATTAAAACATTTGTCCAAGTAACAACAAAATAATAATTGCACTAATCATGCACTAATTTCTCCTGTATTTTATGCACACTGTAACAGTGAAGTTCACTGCAACTTCTAGTGGATTTAAATATTATGTCTGTATAAACTCACAATTGTGAGAAAAAAGTAAGAGTTAAGAATTATTACAAGATGTAAACTCAAGAGTTTACAACAGTTTATATTTTGGAAAAAAGCACTGTGAGATATACACTCAGATTTGCGAGAATAAACGTCAGAAATGTACGGAGTATGGCATGCAGGAAAAAATAGTAGAACGATTTAGCAAATCAAGGGAAGGAAATAGTAATCGTGTGCACATTTTAGTACAGCGAGGGAACGAATGAGTAAATCGTGCTCATGGTTTATTTATTTTTTCTTGCTTGTCATGTGCGGGGCTCTGTAGAAATGTGACAAATGCGGGGGGTGGGTTTATCTCATGGCAGAAACAGGCTTTCATAAAAATGTCATATGAGTTGCCTATTAAAGGAATTTTTTATCATTACAAAATGCAAATGTGAAATTATTGCAACTTGCATTAAAACATTTGTCCAAGTAACAACAAAATAATAATTGCACTAATCATGCACTAATTTCTCCTGTATATTATGCACACTGTAACAGTGAAGTTCACTGCAAGTTGTAGTGGATTTAAATATTATGTCTTTTTTTTTCTCCTCTGACCTTTTTTCTGCAGAATGTGACTCATTTAATCAGTGTGGCACATGCTCGTTCTTCGGTTCCTGCTCTATAATTAAAAACTACACCGTGTGGAACGTTGGAGACTATGGAGACGTCTCAGGACGAGATCGCATGAAGGCTGAGATCTACAAAAATGGGCCAATCAGGCAGGTTCTACAGCCCATATTTTGAGTTAAATATAAATTAAAATAGTAAGCTACAACTCTTGGGCCTCAATGGCAGAAAAATCCATATGATGCAATTTTGATAAAAGTATTTGGCTATAGTTCATTAACAGTGCAGGGTTATTATAGTTAACTAAAACTAAAACCATAAAAACAGTTGCTTGACATAAAATAAACTTTAAATTAAGTATATTAAAAAAAATACATTACATTTATTTTGTTTTGTTAAGTTGGCAAGGCAATATTTAGCATTTTCATTTAGTTTAACAATGAGCTAAAATAAATAAAACTGAAAAAAAAAAACGTATATAGACAAAAAAAACTGATTTATGAATAAAAACTATTTAAAAATATTAATAAAAACTATAATAGTATCTCAGTGATACTACAATAACACCAGTTTACAGTTGGTGCATTAATTCAATTCAAGCTATTTTTGATGCACTGTAAAAAAATTAGATTTTAACAGTATTGTGAATTTAAGTTAAGTCTGTAAAACCTAAAATGTTGCTACCATATTTTTTACGGTGAAGTTCTGGCAACCACAGCTACCGGTATTTTACCGTAAATGTCACAGATTTTTTTTTTACAGTGTGGGCTTTAATCAAATATCAGCTTGATTTTGTCTTTGCCGCTGTGTCAGAACAGTTTCTTTGTTTCTCTGTGTTGTAGCTGTGCAATAATGGCCACTAAAGGCCTGGAGGCGTATGATGGAGGGGTTTTTGCTGAATTTCACATTCTGTCTATGCCGAATCACATCATCTCAGTGGCAGGCTGGGGCGTCACAGAGGACGGGACCGAATTCTGGATCGTCAGAAACTCCTGGGGCGAGTTCTGGGTTAGTAGAGTTACAGCGGCCTTCAAAAGGGCTTTGGTCTGACCTGTTCAGCTTTACAATAACCACATGAGACCTGTGGATTTAAGAAAAAAAGCACTGAAGAAATTAAACGCATTAAAGAAAAAAAAATGTACCTTGAAAATGAAAATTATGTCATTTACTCACCCTCACTTGGTGTGTTTCAACTTTCAGAAACCTTTACTCTCTGGTGGAAATGTGTATGCTCTTGTATTGTAAGTCGCTGTGACTAAACTGTTTGTCTTGTGTTTTATAGGGAGAGTCAGGCTGGGCCAGGATTGTCACCAGTGCCTATAAGAGAGGGAAAGGAAACTGGTACAATCTCGCCATCGAGCACTACTGTGCATACGGAGACCCGATCGTTACATAGATCAGGAGGAGCCAGTTCCTCACATAGAATTGACTCAGTCTTGGAATTGACCTGGGATCAGACCTTACAGAGCACAGAGAGACTGTTTATAACTGCTAAGAAATCGAATCTAATTGTTCTGGGTTACATCTCCTGTCAGGCTAACAGAACACGAACCAAGCCATGGTTCTTGGCTACAGGAGAAAACAAGGGCACTGTGCTGGATAATTACCCCGCCGTGAGGATGCCGAGAGGCGCAGCCCTCCTCTGCCTTTCACCGCGGCTCAACTCTGGATCGCTTTTAATAAGATGCATCACTTGATCTCTGCACCTGAATGCGCTTGCTTTAATTTGATTTCAAATGGCGTAAATCTAGATTAGATTGATGATGCCAGCCATATCTCATCTGCTCTGCAGAATCCGATTAAATGACATTAGCGGGTTGAATTGACAGATTAGCGGTATTATAATTGCTTTCATTGTTTTGTGAGATTATAAATGATCTTTCAAATATTGGTGCATCATTTATTGCGCTTGCAAATCCGATTCGTCTCGCAGGCATCGATCCAGGTAAGAATCATATTTCAAAAGCATACTAATATCCATATGCATAATGTAAGGTTGCATACTAGTTGACTGTCTCTGTGATGCAGTATGTAGTATGCAGTGTGTTTTGCAAACCTGCATCTCTGCTACATGCGTTGCGCAGCAACCAATCAATCAATGCCATTGATGTGTTCAGAAGTGTTACAGTGTTTCTTATGATGAAACCATGGCAACCTGCTCTATGGGATGCAAGAAGACCACCATATTAACAGTGATTGCTAAAATCTAAGGCTTAATTAGGCACTGTTATTGCACTGATGCATTGCAGTGCATCACATATTAAAACGCCATGCATCCAAATGACTTGCATTTAAGCATGATTCAATGACAGCACAGTTAAAGCCATGTGGAGTTGGTTGGGACTGTACATATTGTTCTTAATGTATAGGCTACTAAGCACCGTACTGTACAGCAGTCTGCCTACACACTCTAATTCTGCACTGCAGACTGAACGATGACACACCAAAACACACTCCCACTCGGCAATGCATGCAAGAGTTTGCTTTGGATTTCATGCACGAATAGAATTATTTCTTTATATGAAATACTTTGCCATCATCATGCAATAGCAAGACTAGGATCAAATCCATTAATAAGCTGTTATTCCAGTAATATGCAGTGTATATTCATAGTGTACGTCAAAGCATATCTGACTTTAATACACACTAGGAATAGCAAAAGAGAAAAATTATAATGGTTCAAATGGGGACAGAACAGCTTGATCATTGCAATAAGAGTTCCTGGTAAAAATGCAAATCTCTTCATAGATTTTTTCTCATTAAATCATTTAATATATTATTAAAAGGTACACTTAATCAGTGTGCTGAGTTTAATCAAACAGATTCTGAGTTATGGGCTTAATCTATAGATTGGGGGTTCGAAGTCTTGTAGCGTTGAGTGGGATTTTGTTTTAAAGGAACAGTTCACCCAGAAATGAAAATTTGCTGAAAATGTACTCGGCCTTAGACCATTAAATATGTAGATGAGTTTGTTTCATCATCAGAACAGATTTGGAGAAATGTATCACTTGCTCAGCAATGGATCCTCTGCAGTGAATGGGTGCCGTCAGAAAGTTCAGAGTCCAAACAGCTGATAAAAACATCACAATATATTCGCACCACTCCAGTCCATCAGTTAACGCCTCGTGAAGACAAAAGCTACATGTTTGTAAGAAACAAATCCATCAAGATGTTTTAACTTCAAACCATTGCATCCAGCTAAAATGCGAGTTTTCTATCCATAATATTGCTTCCTCCAGTGAAAAAGTAATCTTGTCTGAATCAGAAGAGAAATATGCAAAAACCAAGCACCGTTTCCAAGCGAAAGAGTCCAAAAACATTCTAAACAAATATGTGGCTGCGATTTTTATGCGAGAGACAACAGGAAATTGACTTTTTCACTGGAGGAAGTGTTGGATTATTAATTTTTGCCAGAAGCAACGGTTCGAAGTTGAATAAAAACATCTTAATGCTGAATTTGTTTCTTACAAACACAGTTTTTCACTTCATAAGACATTAACTGATGGAGTGCTGTGGATTACTTGTGGATTATTGTGATGTTTTTATCAGCTGTTTGGACTCTCATTCTGACGGCACCCATTCACTGCAGAGGATCCATTGCTGAGAAAGTGATGAAATTTCTCCAAATCTGTTCTGATGAAGAAACAAACTCATCCACATCTTGGATGACCTAAGGATGAGTACATTTAATTTTTTGGGCAAACAATTACTTCAATGCTTTTATTATTCCAGCTGCAAAATTAAAAATAAGTATACTAGTGTAGCACAGTGAAATAGAGAGGACATTTCCTCTCTCCGTGAATCGTTCTTTTGATTCTGTACTTGTCTCTCTCTCTGTGCATCTAATTAGCGTTCCTGTGGAGATGTGGTAAACAGCACCTGATGCAGGAGAATCATTAGCTAATTGGCAGCATCGATGTTCTCCTCCCCATCTGCAAATCACTCACTGTTGCATCGGATTTTAAACTTGCTATCAGTTTTTTCGAGCCGCCCTCGATTTAAAAAAATAATAATTCAGCAAATTATTAAAAAATCTGTCATCTGCTCACCCTCAAAACGCTTGCACTTCTTCTGTAGCTCCTCCACCTAGTCTTTTATGCCGTTGTCTGTTCCTCACACAAAGCTTCTGTACAACTGAGGACTGAGAAATCAAGATGAATTTTACTGCCATGCAGATTGTTTAGCTAATATTTGGACATTTTTAGATCACTGAAATCAACTGAAAAACCAACGTAAATTTCAGTTTTCAGATTTTCTAATCAATTATGTTGAGTAAAAACCATTTAGAATCGGCGACTGAATCATATGTCCCTGTGTTTGACCGACAGAAGTTCTCAGACATAAAACTGAGCTCTAACCTCATTGCATAATAGCTAGAGATTTACTATGGCAGAATCAGCCTGCGGCATTGGTTTTCCTGTAGGTGCTGAAGTCGACACTTTCACCGCTGCAGAAGCCGGGGCAATTGTATCGCTCTAGCAAAAACAGCAATTCCTAGAGGATTCCAGAAGGTCTTTATATTTGCAAGAAAGTCTTAAAATCATTTGATGAGACCCAAAAAACTATTACTGTAGATCTGAATATACAATGACCCCAAACACTTAAAAATGCCAGAATGTCATTGCATTAGATACAAAATATCAAAGAGTGCCTGTATGCATCTCAAATGCTGCTTCTCCAAACTAACTTTCATTTTCTTCATCATTTTAATCAAATGTTTTGGTGATTTTGTAGTGGACATATGAAGTCAGCTCTCCTCAATTTGAAATGAATAACACTTGCTTTGATATTTTGTTACATACATGACAATAACGTTCAGATATTTTAAGGAGACCACTGACCTCAATGACTAATAGCAGTTTGTTTATAATTAAAAGTGGTTGAATTTTGACATCAAGAAGCAGCACAAAACAGCAAGATAAGTTTTGCACCAGCTCTACATATGATTAATAATACATCATCGCTAAAAGTCTGAATAATGTATCGCCCCTCAAGATGAGTAATCTGAAAAATGGAGCAGGTGAAGGGCCAGTGAGGACAGAAGAGAAGAGTTAACGATGACTAATCCTGCTTCTGTTTGCTGGTGTCTCTGGCTGCAGGACAGGAAGCGTCGAGCTGCTGCGTCTGTCATTTCCTCGTCAAAGCTGCTGTCTGCTGACTGATAGGGCTGTGAAGGACAAGGAAAACATTTCTAGACAGAGCGTAGCGTAGATGACTGTGAATATTTTAGCAAGCACCACAGAAAAACAAATGCACTGAAAAAATTTGGGGTGGAAACTATTTTCTCTCAGAATTGCTAGTAAATTTCATAATTACAAAGAAGCATCACGTGACACATTTAATTAAACATGAGTTTTTTTTGTAAAACACTACATTAATACATTTACAAAAAAAGAAAACAAAGAAAGAAAAACATTTTAGTGTACAGTAATTGCAGACCTAGCCATCCAAATGTAGACTTAAATATGTTCTCAAACATTATTGTTTACATTTACATATTAAATTGCATTGCAATATGACAGCTACAATTTTTTTTTTATCTTTCTATGCAATTAGTGTTTACATTTGCATATTATATTGCAATATGAATGAAAATGTTTTTTGCACTAAAAAAATAGTTTTATATGCATAGTTTTATATAGACTTTATATGCATTTACATGTTTAAATAGCATTTTTACATTTACACATTGTTTACATTTGCATACAGTACTAAATTATATTGCAATATGATTTTTTTCACATTATCTTTCTGTGCATTTACATGTTTACATACTATGTTTACACTGACATTGTTTACATATTACATTGTATTGCAATATGACAGTTCTAGATGCACTGTATAAAATTATTTTTCAAACAGATTATTGGGAGTACTTTTTACGAGAAAACACTATTTCAGTCTATCAATTCAAGTTTAGTCAATGTGTTGCTTTATTTTTTTGTTTCATTTTCTTTTGCAACAGAAGATAAATATTTTAATTTGGATTATCTTTGCAGTGCTGCAGCTGATAATTGCACTCAATACAAAATAAAGCAATATATCAAAAGCATTTTCATTAGTGATCAGCGACTGTTTCTGGCCAGATTGTTATTTCTTGAGTCATGGTGCATGGAAATCGTGTTCATACTAATAATTCAGCGCAGGGTCTATGTACGTCATTTATCCAGGAGAGCTTCTGTCTGTTTTGATGTCTCATTGCCCTCGGAGTGACCATATTTAATCTAGCTGGCACAGAAATCGACCTCTGTAAACATTCACTAGCACTAACTGGATTCAGGAGCATCATATGTTAGTAAGAAGCAATCATAGCTATACAGATGCATTCATTTATATGCAGGTATCACTGTTGTCACGTTCTATACCGGCGGTTTTCTCCATTAGTACCCAAGGGAAGCACGCTGGAGGAGCCCAGGCTATTGAATCATCTTCACTACTAGGATGCCGTTGGCAAGATCCAGGCAACATGCAGCACACTCTGTTCCCACTGTAACTTGCTTTTACTGCGGTTATTTGCATGGGTGAGTGTGTGTGCATTTTAAGATTTCCCTAAATACTTACTTACATTGCGTCTCACACTCCTGGAGGAATTTATTTGATTGGAATTTACTCTCTTAGAGGAATAGTTCACCCGCAAAATGAAAATATGCTGAAAATGTACTCACCCTCAGACCATCCAAGATTTGTTTCTTCATACGAACAGATTTGGAGAAATGCAGCATTCCATCACTTGCTCACCAATGGATCATCTGCAGTGAATGGGTGCCGTCAGAATGAGAGTCCAAACAGCTGATAAAAACATCACAATAATCCACAATAAGTAATGTAAGTAATCCACAAGCTGCATGTTTGTAAGAAACAAATCCGTCAAGATGCTTAAACTTCAAATTCTGGCTAAAATCTATCCATAATATTGCTTTCTCCAGTGAAAAAGTCATTTCGTTTGAATCAGGAGAGAAATATGCACAGATTAAGCAAAGTTTACAAGCAAAAACAGTTCTAAACAAATATGTTGGCGGATTTTGATGTGAGGAGGAGAACAGGAGACAGACTTTTTCACTGGAGGAAGTGTTATTATGGATTATGAACTGTATTTTAGCTAGAAGCGATGTTTTGAAGTTAAAAAAATATATATCTTGATGGATTTGTTTCTTACAAACATGCAGCTTTTGGCTTCACATGATGTTAACTGATGGACTGGAGTGGATTACTTGTGGATTATTGTGATATTTTTATCAGCTGTTTAGACTCTCATTCTGACGGCACCCATTCACTGCAGAGGATCCATTGGTGAATGCAAGTGAATGCTACATTTCTCCAAATCTGATGAAGAAACAAACTCATCTACATCTTGAATGGACTGAGGGTGAGTAAATGTTAAAAATGAATGTGAATAACAGCTCAGATCATTTGGGAAAAAAATTATGAGAAACGTTTGACTTTGTTGAGATCTCTTCTGAAACTCTAGATGAGATGTGTGGGTCATTTTCCTACATCTGAGAAGTAGGAGACTCCTCCATTTTCTCTTCATTTAATCTCATTGCTGTCTAGGAGAAACAGAAGGCATTATTTTTGTAATTCTCTTTCCTGTGGGCTTCCATATCAAAAGTGTCTTTGTGCATGCAGGCTCTCTGGATCTTTCTCTGCAGTGTAGTTTGCATTGTTCATGGTGTCTTTGTGAAAGCCCTGCTGACAGCAGCTGTCATACTGTCGCTCGCAGGAACGGCAATGCAGCGCTTCTTTTGTGCAGATCCACACAAAGACCGGAGGGGGTTTGGCAATATCCACTGTAACGAAATTACACCGCATTAGTGCAACAGGCGCTAAAATGATGTTAGGAAGATTTAAACTGGGTGAAAGTTATTCAGCAGCAGAACAGCATGGACTGGTTTCCTCCTGATCCTGGACTAAGTGCAGAAACTTTAACGGAGAACATCGGTGGTAATGGATTGACCTGTGATTGGTGAATGGTCCCTTCGGTTTTAAAGAAAAAATGGGTGACCATTTTACTTCTGAGTGAAACAAGAAATTCAATGAGAAAAAAATAAGATGTAGATGCATTGATGTATCAACTGAACAAATGAACAAGTGTTTCTAAGAAAATCTAAAAGGACTTGTGATGTCAGACAAATAGTAATTAGAGAGTTATTAAAATTATTACATTTTGATTAAAGATTATGAAGACAAAGATTAATGATAACTGATAAATCAGTCAAAATAATACCAGGAGCCAGATTCACAAACATTGTGAGGAATAAAATGATTCTATTATTCTAATTTTATTAATACAATTATTATATTTTTGTCTAATTTTCTAACTTTAGAAAAAGGCTAAGTACTTTTTGTTTAACCAAAAAAAAATATATATATATAATAATAATATATATATATTTTTTTTTTTAACAAAGTCATACAAACCATTGAAAATAACCATTGAAAAATTAGGATAAATCCCAAAAGGTAAAATGTTTAAAGAATTTACTATTATATATATGTTTGTAATGAGCAGTAGCTACATTGCGCAAAAAATAAAAAAGATTTTCATACTTAGTATTTTTGTTTTGTTTGTCTTGTACAAATGCATCAGAGTTAAATGAGCTTATGCATAAAACCAGAAAAAAATCCTCTAATGAGGTTAGAAAAATAAACCTTAATTCAAAGGGAAACAAGATATTTTTTTCTTACCCTACTGGCAGATAATATTCTTGTTTTAAACAAAAACTCACCTAGACGTACAATACTTAATATCTTATGTAATTTTGCTTTTCAGTTAAATATGTTGATTTAAGAATGTTTAGATATTTGTGCTAGAAAACAAGATAAAAAACTGAGTAAGAAAATCATTTTTACAGTGTATTTACAATAACTATTTTTATTAAGAGAAAAAAACTGAAAGAAAGAAAATGTTTGAGAACTTAAAGGGGTCATATGATGCTGCTAAAAAGAACATTATTTTGTGTATTTGGTGTAATGAAATGTTTATGCGGTTTAAAGTTCAAAAAACATTATTTTCTGTACATTATTGTTTCTCCTCTATGCCCCGCCTTTCTGAAACGCGTCGATTTTTACAAAGCTCATCGGTCTGAAAAGCGAGGTGTGCTCTGATTGGCCAGCTATCCAGTGCGTT